AATTGAGGTTGGATGGGGTCCTTTACAGATCCTGGTAACCCCCAAATCCTATCACTGCTAGGGATCTCAAGGGCAAGATTAAAGGGGGCAGAGAGACTGGACTGGGTCTTACAGCACACCCAGACCCAGACATCTGGAGCCCCCGCTGCTGCATCTCATCTTACTGTGGTCTCTCACAACTGCTCCCTCAGATATTTATTTACCACGTTCATCATCCCCATAATGCAGGCCAGGACACTGAGGTACACAACTACAGTAAATTGCCTAAGATCACACACCCTTAAGGGTTGGGGCTGGAATTGAACATCACATCTGCCCCTCCTCAGAACCAGAAGTCTTTCCCATAGTGCTGTAAAGTTATTCCTAAGGTAATGGGTGCAAATTAGCTGATCACTCTTTGCCTGCATCCTGAGTATGGATTTCTGAAGTCACCCCCAAATTCTGCACGGTAGGATATCATTTCTTTTTTCTCACAAGACAGGAAAAATGATCTGTTAGATTAACTCCTTTCCCAGAGTCTGAAACCATCTTCTCATATTTATTTTTATTTTTATATCCAATTTATGGGATAAAATACTAAAAGTAGCAAACTGTTAAATTGATGTAGGCAGTGTCTCTCCCATACTGCTGGTAGGATTGAGAATTGACACATTTTTTTCTGGAAGGCCAACTGGGAAATATATCAGAGGTTGAGATATGGAAACCCTTGAATTGAGCTATTTATCTTCCTGAAGTTGCTGCTAGGAAAATAACTGAACAAGTATAAACATTTTTTACAAACAAAGATGTTAACACTAGCTTTTCTTGTAATAGTGGCAAACGGAAACAACTTGAAAGATCATGAATAGGGTTTGGCTGAATAAATCAGGCTCCACACTTGCAGACAAATGGTACTCATGTAAAACCCTGAGTGTGCCTTCAGGTCTTTGGGCTTACCTGGAGAGGTGATGTGTGGCCCCTCTAGAAAAGGCCATAAAAAATCACCAGATTATCTGTATTATGTTTGACTTCCAACATGCTGTTCCATCAGCCTTGTCCTCCCCTTTGGCTGGCAAAATCCTTGTGAAACTTCTAGTATCATCTCCCCTGGCACTCTCACAGGCCAACCCTCTCTGACTCCACTAAAGGCCATTCCCTATATCTTACTTTGGTAGCATTTCTCATTTGGCTATAATGGCTGGTATGATTATCTGTCTTCCTACTAGGCTTCTATGCCCTGTGCCGAGCAGTGTTGTTTGGATATCTTGGTACACTCTTACCTCAGGAATTTGTGCTGCCTAGTGTCACTCTTCCTCTAAATGCCCCTGTGACTTGATTGTCTCACCATGTTCAAGTATTTGCTCCAATGGTGTCTTATCAATGAAGCCAGCCCTAAATAACCCAGTTAAAACTGCACAAATGGTCACCAGCACTCCCATCTCCCCTTCCATGCTTTATTTTCCATCACATGCGTCTCTCCTATACCACATGATTTACTGATTTATTATATTGTTTATTCATGTCTCTCCCCACTAGAATATAAATTCAACATGGGCAGACATTTTAGTCTACTTAGTTCACTGGTGCATCCCCAGCTCCTAGAACACTGCCTGGAACCTAAGTTGGCGCTCACCAGAGACAGAGTGGGGAACAGAACAGGCAAATCTACTGAAATACACTGCTGAGGGGAGCAGCGAGCGAGGCAGGAGAGGTCTGCCGTGCCATGTGGGTTTCTCCCCGGCCGGCTGGGAATAGAACCGGTGTGCAGAGGCTGCAGACATCTTCACAGCACTGCACTCAACCCGTGGTACCACCCGGGAGGCCCTTAATTAGCCTTTAATAGAAGGAAAACAGCAAACTATACCCCACTGCTCCCCTCATCAGTGTGTTTCGTCAGTCTGCCTGTTCTGCTCCCCGCTCTGGCTCTGGCGAATTCTCTTACCCTCCTGCGCTTCTGACTGTACCCAGTGCTTGTAAAAATAAATAAATAAATCTTTTTTTAAAAAAAGGCTAATCAAGAGTAATAATAATGATTATTATTTTAATTTTATTTTTTTAAGATTTATTTATGCATACGAGAGCTGGGGTATAAGCTAGAGGTGTGGAAGTGAGAGGATTCACCAGAGACAGAGCGGGGAACAGAACAGGCAGATTGACCGAAGTACACCGCTGAGGGGAGCAGCGGGTGAGTCAGGAGAGGTTTGCTGTGCCATGTGGGTTTCTCCCTGGCTGGCGGGGGGAATCGAACTTGTGCTGCAGAGGCTGCGGATAGCTTCATAGGTTGCGTCTTAACCACTTGCGCCACCAGGGAGGCCCTAATGATTATTATTTTTAATGGGTACTTGTTGAACATGTTAATAATATGGTAAGAATTATTAATCCTATTTTAGAGAGGAGAAGTGAGTCTTAGGAAGAGATAGCAACAGGAGTAAGGTTATTCAGACAGTGGACAGACAATAAGTTTGGCACCAAAGCCTGTGAACTTTCCACTCTAAATGTCAAGTACAAGTATTGAAATTACTGAGAAAAATGGTATCACAGTGGAAGGCCAGTTATTGGAGCGGAGGTAATAAGCAGATGTGAATATTTGACCAGTTTTCCTGTTCCTCAAGTGCAGATTAAAGTGACTTGAAAAGTTGGAAGAGAACTTTTGCAGGAAAGAACATGATGTAGTTTAATTTTTTCCCCCAATTATGTTTATTGAGGCAAAGTAGGTTACAGGCTCAAACCTCCACAAATGTGTACTTTCACACCCTGCCCACCATTAGGGCCCCCACAATCCCCCACCATGTTCCCTTGGGCCCCTGGATGAACCAAGATCTAATTTGGCTCAGAAAAACAATTAAAATAAAATCTGTTTAGTATAATTGATATGTGAAACTTAAGAAATGACAAACTTTTTCCTTCTCTGTCTGCAAGAATATTTTGTAAAACCATTTAATTTATTAAATAATTTTAAAATGTCACAAAACTATGTATAAGATTTTAAATGACTAGTATTTAAATAGCCAAAAAGTATACAGAAAGGAAAAAATAAACCGTAGGTCAACACTGAACATTTTGGCATATTTCTTTCTTTTTTGGCTGGGTACAGTGTACTTTATGGATGGTACATGACAAGGCAGGGCTCCCTGGGGCCCTCCCCCTCTCCAGGGGGTCTGGATGGAACTGTGACAGGTCAGGAGATTCTCAGAAGCTGAGGGTGCCTCTCTTCTTTCTGGGCACTTACTGGAGCTGGTGTCCGGGGGAGTCTTTGTCCTTGGAGGCCATGTGGACCACGAGGTCCACCACCCTGTTGCTATGGCTAAGTTCATTGTCCTGCTAGGAAATGAGCTTGGCTAAGTGGTCGCTGAGGAGAAAGACAGCCATAGCATCAAAGATGGAGGAGTGCATGTTACTGTTAAAAACACAGGCGACAACCTGGTCCTCAGTGTAGCTCAGGATGCCCTTGAGGGGGTCCAGTGATGCCTGTTTCACCAGTGTCTCAATGTCATCGTATTTGGTGGCTTTCACCAAGCAGCAGGTTAGATCCGCAACCACAGGTTGGAGATGGGGACGTGGAAGGCCATGCCAGTCAGCTTCCCGTTCAGCTAAGGGATGGCCTTGCCCAGAGCCTTGGCAGCTCCAGTACACTTGCATATGATATTCTGGGCAGCCCCTTGGCTGTCATACCACAGCTTCCACAGGATCTCTGTGGGGACTTCAAAACCATAAAATGCAGGCTTCCCAAACAGTACCGAGACATCAAGACCTGTTGATATGAAAAAGTTGAATGTATTGCTTCCCTCAGTAAGGTAGAGCACAGAACACCCCCTTACACTGTTTTGGCAGTGTTTCTGGAAGGAAAGGAAAGGTTAGAATTTATTAAGAAATGAAAGTTTGGTTTAAGACAAGAGGGTCTCTCAACACAGAAACTTGATTAGAATTGGGTAAGAATCAAGATACCAATAATCTAGGATGGGTTAAAGTTGCAAAAGGATAATTTTTAGGACAAGGATTCAAAGAATTCTAGGGTGCAAACTGTTGATGCTTTCCTTTGGAGATTTGATAGGTCTTTGGAAGAAGTTCCTGTAATGAAGAAACTATTTGTCTACCCAGGACAGTCCTACTAAAGTAAAGCCAATGAAGACAGTGGACTAGCAAAGTCATGTTGATGTAGCTATGTAGTAGTGTAGTGTAGTGTAGTGTAGTGTAGTGTAGTGTAGTGTAGTGTAGTGTAGTGTAGTATCTGTGCCCAGACTGACTATGAAGATACACTGCTTTAATTCTCATTTACATATTTGTTATGACTTATTCACATTAGGCATCAAATTCACATTATTCACATTTTGAGGTGTCAAAATCCTTTCATTTTCTTGAATTCCAAGGAAAGATGTTTAGGTGTTTGCTAAACCCTGAGGAACAAATGTAGCTAGCTATAACCGGTCTGCTAAACCCTTTAGGTGGATTATTTTATTTAATCCTCACAAACACCTTGTGAAGTAGGCACTCTTATTACCTCTGCTTTATAGAGAAGAAAACTGAGGTTCAGGGAGGGAAATTAGTTTACATGCATTTTTTTCAGGAATACCAAGAAAAAACACCTTTAACAAAACTGTCCTATTCCGATTTTTTCGCACAAGGATGCTGGGGTTCTGGTTCACAACATTATTTGACCATTGTGTGTTTTGGGGAGAAGGGGAGGGCGGGTGGAAACTGAAGGCCTCCACACACTCCAGTTTCGGTCTAGGTGGGCTCCGCTCGATCTCCCGGCGATACCCGGGGTCGGGCTGCGCAGCCATCTCCGAAGGGGTGGCCGAGGCCTCGCCCTGGACGACCCCGTCGGCCGGAAGCCGCCCACCCGACTGCGCAGGCTCCGGCTGGCTGGCGCCCTCCGCGCCTGCGGGGCCCGCTTCCGGTTGCGGGAGTGGGGGAGGTGCGCCGCGACCCCCTCGCCGGTGCGGGCAGGGGCGGTGCCGCGGTAGCGGCGCGCGAGCGGTGGAGGCGGCACGCGGGGAGGCTCCCAGGTCGGCTTCCGCGGCTTCCCTTCATCCACCCTCTTTCGCTCTGCGCCGGCCACAAGGTGGGGCTGCAGCGGCGAGAGCGCCTGAAGTCGGGGCGCACTCGCCTCGTAACCTTCTGGTCACCCAGACAAACAGCCGCGTGAGTTTCCCGGCACTAGGAGGCACCTCACCCCGATTTTGTGGCAGTTTTTTTATGCCCGCCCTTCGTGCAATGCAAAGAAGGGACTTGGTCCCAGCCTGTCCCCCGATTGGAGAGGTGCTGTCCATCCGCTTGCACCTCCCCACCATCTTTTCGGAGGTGTGCCCCCCGGCCAGGAATACCCCATGGGAGCCGGCCCAGCGGGTAGAGTTTGTATCTTTCTGCTGTTCTGGCAGGACTCCCTTACTCAATAAGCCAGAAGAGTAAGTTGCACCCCTTTTGCCCGCCCCCCCCACCGCTATTAACATTTTCACGAATATGCCGAAATAGAACAGTTCATCTGGTTGTGACCAGGACCTAAGAGTTGCATGAAGTCATTACCTGACTGGTTTGCTGCTTGGAGTAGGAGTCTTGGGCACACTCAACTTGGCAGACAGGCCGGGGGGGGGGGTGTCCACATTACACATTGGAATCACCCAGCCAGAAGCACATTGTACACCTCAAGACAACTGACAGTGTCAGAGAGAGGCGCTTTCTTGGATGTTTCTGTTGCGACAGCCTCGAGCCCTGAGAAGCTTTATTCACCTCAGAAGTTTTATTCACCACCATTCTTGGCAGGTCTTGCAATGGGAAAGCCCTGCTGGGGAAAAAAAAAAAGTTAAGAAACTAAATAATGCAATAGATTGAGGGTTTTTAGAATAACCTTACAATTTGCATACCATAAAATCCACTCATTTAAAGTGTACAGTTATTTTTAGTAAATTTACAGAGTTGTGCAACCACCACAATCCAGTTTTAGAACATTTCCATCACTCCCTATAAGTCTCATAAACCCAGCTGTTGGCAGTTAATCTCTTCTCCCATCTCAAGCCCTGACAGCCACTTTTCACTATCTGTTTTCTGTCTCTATGTAGTTGCTCTTTCTGGGCAATTCATATGAATGGAATCATGCAGTGTGTGGTCTTTTGACTTCTTTCACCTAGCATGCTCTTTTCCATGTTATAGCATGTATCAGGACTTCCTTTTTGTGGCCTAATAGTATTCCATGGTACGGATATACCACATTTGTTTATCCATTTATCAGTTGATGGACAGGGGAGTTGTTTGCACTTTTTGGTTATTTTGAGTAACCCTACCTTAAACTTTGTGTGGACATTCGTTTTCAATTCTCTTAATTTCACTCCCTGCCTCAGTTCTCCCCTAGCTGACCTCTACCATAACACTGCCCCGTGAGCTTGGATTCAATCTCCATCTCTCCGCTAGAGAGGCTAAGGACCATGTTCGCTTGTTCTCTGGCCTAGGGATGAAATTTCTGGGTCATATGGTAACTGTATGCTTAACTTTTTACAGGAATGTTCCAAGTTTTATCCAAAGTGGCTGCACCATTTAATATTCTCCTTGGTAAATGTTTGAAGGTTCCAATTTCTTCACATCCTCACCAACAGGTATTTTGTCTTTTTGTTTGGGATCTCATTGATGTTAATATGCCTAGACCTAGTGGTATTTACCTAGTTTCATTGCACTTTATTTTTTTCCCACTGACTTTAGTGAATATCCTTTTTAATCTTACAAAATCTAGAAACTGAAATGAATAATACATGGTCCCTCCTTGAAAGATGTTCGCGATTCCTTTGGGGAGACAGGCAGAGACAGATAATTGCAGTACAGTGTGTTTGGCGCTCTGATGGAGTTGAGCTTGGGATGCTGTGGGGAGTAGGGGAACACCTAACCTAGGTTTGAGGGAAAATGGAGGAAAGAATTGAAGAAGCCATTTCTGAAAGGAATTTTAATGTGACTCTGTTTCTCTTTCCTGTATTTTTATCAAAATTATACATACACATAAGTTAAAAAAGTCAAATAGTTCTACAAGGTTTGCCATTTTAAACAAGGAGTCTCTAGATTTCCTCCCCACTCCCTGCTCCCCCCAAAGAAATCACTTTCTAATCTTATAAGTCTTTAGATATTTACCTCTCTATCTTTAATTAGCACGGCATGTTTTTATTTGAGAACGAAAACGATCAGCCCTGATGTAGGCCAATCACCATCCTCACTTGCACTGATGTCTAAATTGGTCAGCCCCATTAAATATTAACACATGGTTAATTATGAAGGTCACTCACAATGCAGCATCTCTTCTTGCATTTAAATCAAAGAAGACAGGTGTTACTACCAGTTACTGGGATAACTGAAGACAAGATACACAGTTTAAAGAAGTGGCTAAGGAGTTCTTTTCCTCACTAGTGCTTTAGTGACGCATAACTTCAATAAGGAGCACCTGATTGCAACCATTAATTAAGAAGACTTATTTTCACTCAAACATTCAAGGGAAAAGTCAAATCACAGACAAGCAGTGTAGTATAGAACAGAGGTTGGCACACTATCACCTGCAAGCTAAGAGTGCTTTTTTCAGATGAACCTTTATAGTCAGTTTGATAGTAGGGAACACTAACTTTCAACCCCATGTAAACAAAATGTCATTCTTCTGTTTCATTTTTTTTTTCATTAGTAGACCTGTATTGCAAAACCTTGTAGCTAATTCTTACATTTTGAATTTCATCTCTAAAATTTTTGTGGAAATTTTTCTTATTATATAAATACCTACATAATACTCTTGATTTTTCTTGTTGGCTCATAAAGCATCTGACCTTCACACAAAAAGTTTGCCAACTCCGGGTTTAGTAGAATACACACAGTAACAGAAAGTAATTGCCACATACTTGCTATGTGACCTTGGGAAGCAACTTCTCTTTTCTGGTCTTCATTTTCATTATAAAATGAGGATAAAGGGTGCTGGGGTGATGAGATAAACTCCAGAGTTAAACCCTCCAATCTCCTAAGTTTTTCATAAATTATGCAAATATTAATTGAACTGCTACTATGTACCAAGAACTGCTAAAGGCATTGAAGATAGAACAGGAGCAAAATTTCTATCCTTGAAAGGAATATTGTTCCATTATATTATTAAGATACAATGTGTGATCTAAGATAGGATTTGGGTTTGAACAGATCAGCTTTATTTAGGACATTTTGAGTAAAATTTGAATATGGATGGGTATTAGATGAGATGAAAACTTATTAACAGAATAATAGAGGTCACTAACTGAAAAAAGGCAGTTGCATAGTATGATGTAATCCTCTTATTTTGTACACATGTATTACATATAGTCAGAAAAATATTCAAAAGGATATATACTAAGCTGTGAACAGTGGTAATTTCTGGATGGTGTGAATATGATGATTCTATTTACTTATTTTTGTTTTCTAATTTTCTACAATGAACATATGCTACTTTTATAAAAGATTCTAATTTAAAAAATAATTTCTCTTTTCATGGAGCTTACATGCTAGTGCCTGTTGTAAGTATTAGTATTGCCAAATCTGTCACTTTTCCTGGGGCATCACATGTAAGAATTCAGAGTGCTCCTCCCCACTGCAGGTGACAAGAGGACCACCTAGTCTCTGTGAAATGGCTGCAGAATATAAGTTGATGCTGCTGGCATTTCCCTTAGAGTTTCCCTGGTAAGTAGAGCTTTCTTATACCCAAGGCTTTAGAATGGGGTAAAGAAAGCTAGAGAGGCAAGCATTGGCAGTCCTGAGCACTGTCCAGGAGATCACATGCCTCACCTGATGCTGGAGGTAGGTTTCTCTCTGTTGCATCGATGGACACGTCAGGCTATCAAAGCCTGGTGTGGTTAAGCATTTGAATCATGTAACTACTCTTATTCTCATTCAGGGCCAGGGGTCCACACACCAAGGACTGTGGGACAAATCTGGCCTGCTATCTATTTTTGTAAAAAAAAAAAAGGTCTTTTTAAAATTTTTTTAGAAAGATTTATTTAGTTATTTATACAAGCACTGTGTACAGTCAGAAGTGTGGGAGGGTGAGAGAATTCACCAGAGCCAGAGCAGGGAACAGAACAGGCAGACTGAGGAAATACACTGCTGAGGGGAGCAGCGGGCGCGGCAGGAGAGGTCTGCGCGGCATGTGGGACCCTTGCCGGCGGCCGGGGAATGAACCAGTGCTGCAGAGGCTGCAGGCAGCTTCACAGCCCAGCGCTCAATTGCTGTGCCACCAGGGGAGGCCCTAAAAAAAGGTCTTATTAGAACACAACCATATTTATTTATTTATGTATTGTTTACACTGGCAGGCTACGTAGTTGTGACAGAGACTGCATAAGACCCACAGACTCCAAAATATTTACTATCTGGACCTTTAAATAAAAAGTTTGTGGATCTGTGTTCTAGGCTCACCAGAGAACTGTCTGTAGGTATGGCTGTGGAGAGAGAAAGCCCACTTTACAAGTTAAATTAACCAATTGACATTCTGGTTTATAAACTTCATTCTCTCCTGAGTTTTATTAACATGTGTCTGTATTCCCTATTTCAGATGACTTTAGGTGAATTAGAAGATTGGATTTCTTACCCTGCAAAGCCGAGGCAAAGGCCAGACCAATGGAAAAACATAGAAAAACTATCAAGGTAAATCATGGCCTGTGCAAGCTAGTTGGTGTCCCATTCATCTAACCAAGGGCTACTTATGCTTCAAATTTGGTTCAAGTGCTTTCTCCACCCAGAAGCCTCTTCTGACTCCTCACCTGGTTTTACTGACCAGTGCTCGTGCTCCTGTGATACCCTTAGCAGACTTCTGTCATAACGCTTACCACTCTGTCCCAACACTTACCACTCTGTCCCGTAAGCTTGGTTCATTATCTGGCTCTCCACTAGAACCATCTTCACTCATTCCCTGGCATAGCCCCTGAGTCTGGCGTAATGCTTAGCACCTAGTACCTTGCTAGTTTGTATCCTTGGCTACACAACTCTGAACATCAGTTTTATCATCAGGAAATGGGAGGGAGTAGTAATAGTAGCTACCTCATAGGGTTGTTGTAAGGATTAACTGATTGTATCATCTATTCAGTAAATACTTGGTGAATGAATGAATTCATACAGGAAATTGTTTGGAATGTTTTGGGAGTTGTGAAAACCTGCATTAGTAGTATCTAAAGTAACATGGGGTTATTTTGCTTGCACTTTTTAGACCAGCAGTGCACTTAATCCTACATTGCCCACTCAATTTCTCACACCAGATTCTGGAAAAGAAGTTTACAAAGCAGAAGTTCAGTGTCCACTGATAAGGTCTAATTTCACCTGGTGCCACAGTACTGGGCTTGTAATGATGAGGCTCCTTCACCCCTCCAGTGGAGGGTGCAATCTTGTGAGCAGGTTTTGTAATCAGTTTTTTCCTTGCGTGGAAAGAATAGGGGAATGGGAATGAGGTAGAAGGGACAGGAAAATGACTCTTCTGAGTTGATTTTTTGTATATAATTCTTCTGATCTTTAGAATCTTGTTAGTGTTTTTACATTACTAAAAGAAATTTAAGTCATATGGACAAGAGAGGGATCCAAAGTAGAAAGAGAATATAAATAGAAACAAAGGAATTTAACTGTCTTACAAATGAATAACAACCACAATAAAAGAGTAAGGAAAAATAAGTAACCTAAATTTTAGAGGCCAAATTGTGTCTTCTCAAAATTCATATGTTGAAGCCCTAATCCCCAATGCGACTGTATTTGGCAATAGGGACTTTAAGGGCATAATTAAGGTTAAATGAGGGCATAAGAATCAGGCCCTGATCCAGTATGACCAATGTGCATTAGGAAAAGGAAGGGAGACCAGAGATATGTGTGCACAGAGAAAAGATTGTGTGAGGACAAAGTGAGAAGGTGGCCACCTGCAAACCAAGGAGACAGGCCTTAGGAGAAAGTAAATCTGCTGACACCTTGATCTTGGACTTCTAGTCTCTAGAGATGGGAGAAACAGATACCTATTGTTTAACCTGCCTATCTGTGGTATTTAGTTATGTTAACCCAAGCAGACTAGTACAGAAGTAACTTTGGAAAACAGCATTTTGACAATATACTCTAAAATAGTGGTTGCTAAACTTCAGTATGCATCAGCGTCCCCTAGAGGGTTTGTTAGAACTCTGGTTGCTGGTTCCCACCTCCAGAATTTGATTCAGTAGGTCTGGGGTGCAACTCAAGAATTTGGATTTCTACCAAGTTCCCCGGTGATGCTAATGCTGCTGGTACAGGAACCATATTTTGAGAACCACGGTTCTAAGGCATAAGACAAGAAAAATCTGTATAGAAATACTATAGTCTAGTTAGTAGGTTTGTTTTCCACAGGGTATGGGTTTGCAATTCTGAATTTACTTTATGTATACTCTAGCATTAAGAAAATAAGTAAATTTGTTGTGAAAAATGAGAACCAGATTTTACTCTGTTGGAGGAAGGAGTCACATGGAAGGAAAGATACAGGACCAGTGCTGACCAGGGGCATGGGTGTGAATGCATCGCTTTGTATGTGCCCCTCCCTCAGCCTCACACACTCACACAGAGGAAGGGATAGAAATAGATACAGTTTTGGTGCACACATATCTATTTCTTAGCTCTGTCTGCTGAGGAAGCCTAGAAGGAGCAACACACCAATACCAGTGAGCACACCTAGCACTCAGATTTGGTTTGAAATACCATTGTCCAAATAAAAGAAACCCGGACTTCTTAGAGAAAATGACTGACTCCAGGGCTGGGACAGGGAGAATACAAGGACATGCAGCAATTTGAAGGGGTTTCAAATGGTGAAATCTGAGACAATTTAAGCAACAAAATAATTAATGATAGTAACAAATTATAATCCATAGAATCAAATAAGAATCCATGAGTTCATACTAATATAAAGAAATAAATGAATAAATATTAATAAATGAGGGGGAGGGGAAAGCACTTGATTATAGCAGAATTCAAATTAATAAATGTAGAAATAATAATGGAAATCGAAACTTATCACTTGACAAGCACCACAGTAATAACTATTTCAGACAAGTATGGTGAGAGAGTCTATTTTCTCAAAGTACCTCCCTACAAAATGCTTATTAATTACAATTGGTAAAATAGAAATTGCTGGGAGAAACCTGGCAGTCACTCCCTTCACCAAGTGATCAAAGTTAACATCACTGGGATTGAACAAATTGACATCATGTGCCTCTTGATGGGATACACTAAACAGGACACAACCTCATATCTGTAGTAATTTTGCCAAAACATAATCTAAATTGAGTCATAATGAACCGTCACATAAACCCTGAATTGAAACCGGTCAGTGTTTTTCAAAAGTGTCATGGTAATGAAAGGCAAAAACAAAAAACACTGAGAGGAACTGTTCCAGACTAAAGGAGCTGAAAGAGACGTGTGTGAACCTGGACCAGAAAAAGGACATTAGTGGACCAATCAGAGAAAATTTAATATGACTCATTGATTAGATTATGGTATTTCATGAATGTTGATTTCTTGATTTATTATAAGGTACCATGGTTATGAAAGATGTTACTATTTGGAGAAGCTGGGTGCAGGGTATTTGGGGATTCTTTGTTCTATTTTTGTACCTTTTTTCAGTAAATCTGTAATTCTTTAAAAATGGAAAGTTGAAAATGAAATGTGGGTTATTTACCTCTTCCCAAATTATCCCTGGGTGATCTGACTTATTGAGGGGTCAGAGTCTATGTAAGTGGGAGACCAGTCAGGAGGCTGTTGCATTAGACCAAGGGAGAGATGGTGGCAGCTCAGACTAGGAGTCGGGTAGTGCCAGTAGGGAGAGGTGGATGGCTTCCGGGTACATTTTGGCATCGTCATGGGAAGGACATTGTACAGGAGGGAAAGGAAGAGAGAACTTCATTTGATGGAGGTTCTCTGGGTATTTCCTTTGGATAAAATATATGACAGAATAGACCCTGCATGCCTACAAGTGTTTTCTATAGATAATATGGATTTAGAACTCGTTAGTATGTAAGATCAACTATAATTTATCATAGGATTTTCATTTTATCCTTTTTCCCCCCTTGTTTTTAATAGTATTACTCTTACTCAAGGAAAAGCAAAGCAAGGGGCTTTCTTTGGTTCCTTCCTGCCAAGGACTTTTAAAAATTCCTCTCTGTTCTTTTCAAGGAGGGATTTGAGTTCTGTGTTGTCACCCAAATTGTGACCTTTACAAAGCCCTGCTTGGCTTTCCACCTGTGTGTCCTTCTTTACATTTAGATCTTTACCTGAAATATTCTGTTATTAAAATTTTGTCTTGCAAGGCTCAGCTCAAGAACCACCCTCTTCAAGTTGTTTTCCTGATTTGTTCAGCTCAAACATGTTCTCCTCTTTCCTGGTAAGTTATTACTCATAGTTTATTCCTCTTATTTGGAATCTGTTCATTCGGAGTCATACTTATTGCTTTATCCTTATTTGTATTCATGGCTTACATCCTCTTTACCAGATTTTAAATTCCTTGAGGGTAGGTACTTATGTTCAGCGTTAAATGAATTACTTTTTGTCCTTGTCATATGCAAGAGGTTCAACAGTAAAATAAGTTCTAAAGTTTCGCCCCCATGTCCTTCGAATCTAATCTTTTGTTCCCTTTATTTCTATTGGGAACTTTTCCTGTGAAATGTTGGAGTCACTTTGTCCTGGGCGATCTTTGCAATTTAAAGCCTGATGTTCTGGGATTTTCTTTTCTGTTGCTTTGATGGAGTTGCTTCCACCAGGGGGAGCTCTTTACTACATATATGTCAATTTCTTTTTCTTTAGAAGGAAAAAGAAAAAGAGACTTCATTAGGTAAAATATCAAAGCAATGGAAAAACAAAGTAGGAACCGAACTTCTTCTAGGACTTTACTTGGTTCCGGCACTAGCTGGCCACTCAAATGCCTTTTCATTTGTGATACTATGTTTTGGCATGATTCTGGCCCATGTGTAAAGATTTCTCTCTTCCCAATGTACTTCATATATTTCATTGACAAAATATATATTGAATATGTGCTTTGGATCAGGTATTGTCATAGATGCTGAGGTCACATCTGTGAACAAAGCATACCAACAAAGTCCCGTGGAGCTTATATTCACATGGGCAACAAACAATAAATGAGATAGATAAAATACACGGTATCATAGATAGGGATAAATACCAAAGAGATAAAGCAATGCAAAGTCTTGTAGGCCATTGTGAGAACTTTGACTTCAATTCTGATAGAGATGGAAGCATTGGAAAATTTTGAGTGGAAGAGTGACAAATCTACTTAATTTTTTCAAATCTTATTGATTTGCTATTCACTGACATAGCTACGTAATTTAAAGCATACAACTTCACACCTGAACAAGTGCACATGCTTCACCCACCCTCCACCAAAGCTCCAGTGCCAATACTCTATCATGTTACGCCCTCTGTCTACCATATTTTTCACAAGGGGTCTGACATTTATTTTATTTTTATTTTTTAATTTTTTTTATTTTTTACATCATTGTTCATTTTTAAACAATATTTGCTTCTCCCCACCCCCTCAGGTATAGTCCCCATAGAGTTTCCTTCACCATTGCACCCGTGCACCATCACCTCAGTCCCCTGTGCTCCTCCCTCCCTCTAATCCCTCTCCCTGCTCCTCCCCTGCAGGATGTCTCTAATTTATAATTGTCTGTTTTTGCTTTGTTGTGTTTTGTACTGTTATTATTTTTTACACTGATGTCTTAATTTGGTTCCCCTATATTCCTGCTATAAGTGAAACCATCCGATATTTTTCTTTTTCCTTCTGACTTATTTCACTGAGCATAATTCCTTCTAGTTCCATCCATGTTGCTGCAAATGGCATGAGTTTATCTTTTTAGATTGCAGAATAATATTCCACTGTGTATATATGTCACATCTTCTTGATCCAGTCATCAATTTTTGGGCATTTGGGTTGTTTCCGGGTGTTACCTATTGTAAATAGTGCTGCAATAAACATAGGGGTACAGGCGTTCTTTTGAATCAATATTTCTGTGTCCTTTGGGTAGATCCCTAGGAGTAAAATTGCCGAGTCATATGGTAGCTCCATTTTTAGTAGACTGAGGAACATCCAGGGGGTCTGACATTTAAAAAGGATTACACTGGTTGTTTTCTTTGAAACAAGCTTGGGCCAGGCAGATAACAGCAGAATTGGGGAGAGGTTGTATTTTTGTATATATCACGAAGGTAGAGTCAACTGATTTGCTCACAGATCAGATATGGGATGTGAGAAAAAAAAGTAATTGAGGAAAACAGGGTCACCATGTTGCATAATACAAATAGCATTGAATAAAATGTGGCAGATGTCCTCTGGAGTTGTGTAACACAACATTTCTATTCAAGATGATGCCAAGGTTTTCATCTGGAGTAGCTGGAAGGATGGAGGTACAAGTAACTACAATGGGAAAGGCTGAAAGAACAGGGTTGGGTGTGTATCAGCAGTTCAGTTTGGGATATTGAATTTGAGATGCCAGCTAGACATCTAAATAAAGACGTTGAGTAAGTTGTGGGATATGTGAGCCTGGCATTCATAGCAGTGAATTCATAGGAGTTAGTGTTGGAGATAAATTTTTTTTGAGTCATAGCTGTCTAAAAGGTGTTTAAAGCTATGAGATGGGTGAAATCACCCAGAGAGTGGAAGTTAGTGGAGAAGTGGACCAAGGACACAGCTCTGGGACACTCCCAAACTTAGAGGCTAAAAAGACAATGAAGAACAAGTAAAGACTGATAAGGAGTGGCCAGTGAGGTAGAAGGAAAACCAGAAGAGTATGGTGTCCTGGAAGCCAAGTGAAGATGATGCTTCAAGAGGAGGGAATGATCAACTGTAAAAAGTATTTCTGCTTGGATGAGCAGGATGAGGACTGAGAGTTCTTGATAGAATTTGGCAACGCAGATCACCAGTGGCCTTGAGAAAAGCTGGTTCAGTGAACACACACTTGATCAGAGTGGGTTCAAGAGAGAATGGGAGGAAGAAAGTTGTATATGTGGAATATAAATAAGTCTCTTGAGTTTTGCTATAAAGCAGAGCAGAGAAACAAGGCAGTAACTTCCATGGTGTGTGAGGTCAAGAGAAGATATTTAAAATGAGAGAAATAATCACAAGTTTGACCCAGGAATTTTCATTAGTTACTGGAATTTGCTTGTCCTTATTCACATGTGTTTCTTGGCATGCTAGCCAGTAATACACTGAGAAACTAGATGTTGAGAGAGGGGAATTTGCCAGCAGATTTAAGTAAAACAAAATCTAGGGAAACTCATGGACAGCCTTTCATAAAACTGGACTTAGAGCTTCTGTAAGTTAGCAAGAGAAAGTATCTCCATGTGTGGAAAAAATTAGGACCATGAGGTCTGGCTGTCTTGCTTGCCCACATGGCAAGTTCAGCCTCGTTTGTCAACCTTGGCCTTTGTTACACTAAAGGGAGCCTATAGGCCCCCTTCTAGAAACGTCTATTGTATAGAAGGATGAGGAGAAGAAATTTATGCAAATACTATGAGTATGATCAAACCTCAGGTAAAGTTTGAACCAAATGGAAAAACTGACAGAAAGATTCAGGCCACAGTTTCACTAATTATTTCCCTGTTCTTTAATGAGAACTAACCTCAGCCTCCAAGTTGGAGTAGAGTTGGGCTTGCTTCCTAGCTTTGTGTTTTAGTAGTGATACAAGTTTCACTGCCCTCCATGTAGTGTTTGTGTTTGAATTTGCTTCCCCTTTTCAGGTCTTCAAGGCCCAGCTCAAAAGGTACCCATCCGACAGAGACTTCTTTGAGCCCCCTTGCAAGCAAAATCAATCATTTCCTTCTCTGCATTTCCATAGCACTTTTTTCTTTTTCTGTCCCCTAGCACAGAGTGCATTGTAGAGTGTGGTGGATGAAAACATGGCCCTGGAGCCAGGCAGCTTGGGCTCACATGGTGGTTTTTGCCAGGTGCTTAACTTCCTTGTGCCTCAGTTTCTCACCTGTATCATCTCAATTTAATAATAATAACAATAGCAGCAATAGTAACAACAATAATAGTACTGTCTTTATAGGGCTTTTGTAAAGTTTAAGGAAGTGACTACCTGTGAAATACATAGAACAGTGCCCAGCTCATAGCAAGTAATCATCAGCTTTTATAATTTCTCTTTTTCCTTCTTGAGGAATAAAACCATACATACCTTTATCATTTTACCACTAATTCTTTGCACACTGCATTTGGCACAGAATAATAGGTACCTACCAGATTTTTGTGGGAATAGCCAGACTTGTAAAATAGATTCATTTAAGGTCATGGTGAATGGTTTCATATGTGTATAGCCCTCTAACCGGCGCACTTAAGGTTCTTATTTATATCATTGCTTTGTCACTTCTTAGCTTATTAACTTATCAGCTTTCTCATCTGGAAAATTAGAAAGAAATATAGGGAGTTAAACATGGAGTTACTGAATATTCAAATATTAACTATAATTATCATTAATCTTAGTGTTAAGTAAATGATTTAATGAACACCTACACTTTTCCAGGGACTGTGGTGCACAGTATCATCAGAGATGAAGAAGTCACAGTCCTTGCTCTTAGAAAAACCCAGAAGTTAGCAAAGGAAGCAAGTATGAACAAATCAATATGTCTAGAGCCCACAGAGGAGGGGACCGGTTTTACATGAGGATTCTAGAGAAGTTTAATAAGGGAGGTATTTTCTGAGCTTCGTGTCTGTGGGATCAGGGTCCCGTGATATTAATGTCAAATAAGTATCAAAATCCCCTTTGTGGCTTATCAGAAATGAATTTTATTTTTTAAATTTTTTTAAAGATTTATTTATTTATGCATACGAGAACTGGGGTACAGGCCAGAGGTGTGTGGGGTGAGAGGACTCACCAGAGACAGAGTGGGGAACAGAACAGGTAGACTGACCAAAGTACACTGCTGAGGGGAGGAGCGGGCGAGACAGGAGAGGTCTGCTGCGCCATGTGGGCTGCTCCCTAGCCAGCCAGGGAATCGAACTCGTGCTGCAGAAGCTGTCGATTGCTTCATAGGTTGCACCTTAACCCCTTGTGCCACCAGGGAGGCCCAGAAATGAATTTTATAGCAGACTTTTCCCAATAGAATTCCTTAACAAGAGCTCTTTAGTGAAGTTCCATCCTATATTTTGAAACCCAGGAAGATATTCTGGGCCAGCAGCAATGGACTGGCAGACTGTACAAGTGTATCAAACACTTGTTTTTGAACAGTTTTCAGTTTTGAACAGTCTTCTTCCAGTCAAGCACCTCTTTCTTTGGTAACTAAGCCAGAGAGACCTCACAGGCAGAAGACTGCTTCTCAGATGCCCCCATCCTGCCTTCCCCTACCCTCCCAGTGAATTTTCTGGGAAGGCTGGCA